CAGTGACAAAGTGAGAGTGTTTTTTTTCCCTCTCACTTAATAGGGTGAGCTACACAACCAGGGGCTGATGTCCTAGCTCTTTGGTGTTTGGGGGACCAGACTCCTTCTATTTGTTGCGTGCTAAAGAGGCAGTTATTCAACCTCATGAACTAAGATCACATCCATATTCCAGCCAGTGGGGAGAAGAGATGGGAAACAGAGGGAATGTCTCTTTTTAACTGTACAACCTATAGAGTGCATGTAGTATCTGCTCAGATTCCACTGGCTAAAATGTAGTCGCACGGTCCACACCCACTGCAAGGGAAACTGAGAAATATAGGGTTTTTTTTTTCAAATTAAAGATGGGTTGATAAGGGTATAAGGTCAACAGATAAAAGGCAATTATATTTGTATATAACTAGGTGATTTTTATACTCTTTTATGAAACTTTATGAGTCTGAATTATTCTTATAAGTAGAAAAAGATATTTATAGTAAGCAAACCCCTCAGAGCTTGCTCTCTGAGTCCCTCTCTCCATCCTGGGGACCAGTGCTCCCTTCTGGTACTCAAAGGCCCTTGAGCATGATTTCAAGGGATGTGCTGCAGTGGTCTTCTTTTGTTATAAATCACAAAGAGATAACATTTCTCCAGAGGTACAGTCTCTCGTGAAAACTGGACAGATCTAAGCCTCAGTTTCCTTGCCAGTAAATGGGAGAATAGCTACTGCCCTTTCTGACACTACAAAGAGATTATAAAGACTAGGGTGAGGAAAGTGAGAGTACTATTAGCCGTTCAGAGGATAACACAGTGGTAATTTAAAGAGTGTTAGGTTACCAATAGTAGTTATAGCTTAGAAGATCTGACATCAAATCGTGGTAACAACGTGAACCCTGTCAGCGCCTTTATCACAACAGTGTATATGCTAGTAGGACTGACAACTGGATAATTAATATTATTGTGGCTGTAGGTTTTTACAGCAGAGTTTTCTCTTTGGAATTTTCATATCTCAAATTTCTGTTTTAATAAGCCCCTTTTTTGATTTCACAAAATAATGTCATGTGCCAAGAGGAACCACCAGAGGGCGCTAAATCACTTACAGAGTTCACCTGGCTTCTTTAGAGCGGAATCACCCCGATTTATGTCAAGAGTATGGGAAGTAGATCCAGGCCTGAAAAAAATGAAATCTATAATTGTGATGTTGGGCCGACATTTAAGTAAATAAGTTTCTTTGTTCTCCTTGGCTATTACTTCAGTCTCTCTGCCTTTTTAGTTTGTGTGTTCATGCACTTTCATTTCTTTTAAATTGGCTGGGATTGTTCAGAGTAGAATAATTTAGAAACGTGAAACCCCAGTTTGCTGTGATGGCTGCCACAGGCACATGTTGACATGATAAAGAGGCTGCCCTCCTCACCGAGAAGCTTATAAATGGGACTAGAAATAAATAAGTGGCTTGTATTGTTTTCAGAACAGGGGAGGTTGGAATTTGTACTTTCGTAGAGACTTTCAGTTCTCGTGCAATGGCTCTCAATTCCCAGCCTGCAGACACACCTACAAGAGGTGAAAACGCACTGGGGCAATTTCTCTGGAGCCTTCACATTCCCAAGGCCATCCCAGGGGGTGGGAAGGTGGGGAGTGGGCGTGCGTGTCAGGGTTCTGAGGGCCCACCGGCCTGGAGCGGCTCTGTAACGCCCTAGAGTCTGTCCACACCCAGCTGTCTGTGGGTCCACATGGCCTGCTGTGTAACGGCTGCAGCAGAAGGCAGAGGCACTGTGCTTCAGTTCTCATCCCAACTGAGGGGCCTCCTGGGGTGCAGGACAGCAGTGTGGGTCAGGGAGCGACAATCTTGCCTGTACCCATCTCCCCCGCTACACAAACACAGGGACTGGCTTGTGTGTGGGGGTGGTCAGAAGCTCTGATCTGTGTTTGGCTGTTTATTTTTGGGTCACAGTAATTACAAAGAAGATCTGCATGTTTTTTCAACCTTACAAACAATCCTTTGAGGGAGGCAGGGTAGTTCTTATTTTAATTCCAATTTACAGATGAGAAAGCACAATGAATGAAGTGGTGCCTAAGGTTCCCTTTAAGTTTGAGGCCTAAATTGGTGAGGTCAGGTGCCAGGTTTTCTGAAGTCTGTGGTTGGTAAGGAAATATGGGAGAGCTGGGCCACGGCCTGATGAGGTCTGTTTCTGGTGGGTGGTGGTGAATGGTGGCCACTGTCTCATTTGGTGCCCACCAGTCAGGAGGTGGTGAGGACTGGGGATTGTAGGAATAGTAGTTTCTTGACTTTGATGGTGAGGGTCTCTGAGAATCCTGACTAAGCCTCGTTTTTGTGTAACATGGAAGTTGCTACAAGCTCCAGTCAGCACAGGGATGAGTGCTGAAGAGAACAGAGGAGATGATGTCTCAGGGGCCTCCCAGAACCTCTGGAAGAATGAGATGATGAAGGTGATGATGGAGGAGAAACACAGCTGGGGATTCTGCAGTTGGGGTGATAGAAGTCACAGCAGCCAGTGGCCTCTAGCTACTAGCCCCCAGACTGGTGTCTGAAGGGAACCCAGGCTGTGGGGAAAGTCCAGGAAAGCCTGGAGGGCATTCATTGGTTTGTGGAAGCTCAATGATATGGGGGGAGGGAATCCATTCTGGGGGTTTCATATCCCACTGGGGAGACAGTCCTATCCTTTGCTGCTCTTTTCGTGTTACGGGTGTTTTGTTTTTAAATTTCAAATCTAAAATGTAAGGAAAGTCCTTCACTTTCCTGGCATATGCTGAGGCCCAAAGGCAGCAAAGTACAGCCATTTAGAAGGCTAATAAATCAAGGAACCACAGGGCCTCAGCCACCTTCTTGCACTTCCCCCGAGCACTTCTGGGGCTGATCCCCCCAACCCAGTGCTGGAAAGGACCCAGGGCCTCTGCATGCATGGGGCTGATGCGGCAGGGATGTGCTCAGAGTGGTTTCTGAACGTGGAGGACCAGGCTGCGGGTACCATGTGGGTGAGAGACAATTTCACTTTCTGGAAAATATTGTCTGGAGCTCCCTTTTACATACTGCTTTTGAGGACCAAACACTTAAGCACTCTTACCTCATTCCGTTTCCCCTTTGACTTTGTCCTTGACTGTACTAATGGATGTGTGTCCTGAGCCCAGTGAATGTACTCTGAATCAAGCAGAAGGAGGAAGCTTCACACATCCCCTTGAGCCTCTCTGCCCAGCTTGGCCTCCCTTGCGCCACCCGCCCCCCCCCCTGCATCCTAGGGCCTCCAAGGGCAAGGGGAGGGGCTGAACCGTGGCTCAGGCAGAAACAGCACAGGCCTATACAGTGAAGGACGCTAACTTGGCCTTCACCACAGAAAGGGCTGAAAGCAACCCGAGAATTCCAATTAGGCTTAAACTAATGAGCTGGAAACTTTGGGGAAACCACTGTGGGCAATGAGGGGAGAATGCGATCATCTTCCTTTTAATTAGTGCTGGAAAAACTTGTGGTCCAGCTGGTAGCATAAGGAAGGGCAGTGTCCAGAGGGAGCAAAGGTTGAGAGTATCAGAAGGGGGATTTCCCCTGGTGGTTAGGGAGGGGCTGCTGAACAAACCTAGACACCTTCTTCACCTCTAAGTGGGGAGGACAGAAGACCCTAAATGGGGAAAGGTGGGCTTTAATGGAGCTTGGAGCTGCCCTTCTCACACGATGGAGTCTGAGGCTGAATAAAAGGGGAGTGACATTAGGGAACTCTGTTGTCTGTAGGAGCTTTCACTGTCCCTGAGGTCAGGTCTGCCCTGCCCATCTTTGTGTACTCTCTTAGGCAGCCTCTGTCGCTTAATAAGGAAAAGGCAGAAAAACCACCTGCTGCTGCCAAAGGCCACAGACCACCTGCCACGCCCCTGCATGGCCCTGCTTTCCAGAACACAGGGGGCACTGGGGCACCTAGGAAGGCGACAGGGAAGAGCAACAGGGGTTGGTAGGGGTCGAACGAGGGTGTGTATCCTGGAGAAGGGTCCTCCTCACTCCTGAAGCCCGAGGAGCTTGGGGCGTCCGGCCTGTGCAATCAACAGCTGGTCACTTCTCCCCTCCCCACTGGGGGCTCCTTTGGGAAAAATGGCCTGCCACGGGCGCCCGGCCATCCTCCTCAGGTCCCCCAGGGCGCTCGGCTGGGGGCGCAGCACCTTGGAGAGAGGTGTCGGGTGCCGCGCCTGGATGTGGAGCTCTCTACCTTTCGCACTGCGGCTCAGGGGTGCGTGCCAGGCCGTCGCCAAGGGGGTCTGCCGGCCCCCTGCCCAGCTCGGAGCCGAGGAGAGCCAGCGCGGCGAACCTCCTCCCCTCCCGTTCGGGCGGCCTGAGCCCGCGCCCGCTCCAGTTGCTGCAGCTGCTGTTGCTGGCGTCTGCGGGGAGCGCGGGGCGCGCGCAGGAGAAGCTCGGGCGGCGACGAGGAGGAGCCTGAGGAAGCGGGGAGGAAGATCGAGCGAAGGCCGAGGAGGCTCAGCGGCGTGGCTCGGGGATCCCGGGAACATGGGCTAGCGGCGGCGGCGGCGGCGGCGGCGGAGGGCCGGGCCGGGCCGGGCGCGGTTGAACCTGCCGGGGCCCGACGCACACCGGGGCGGCGAGCGGGAGCCGAGCGCAGCCGGGAGAGGAGGGCTGGCGCGGGGGCGCCCGGGAGGGGGCTGATGAGGCATTATTAACGAGTCTCCACCTAATAAGCCCAGAGCGGCGGGCTAGCTGCGCGGGCTGCGTGCGGGGAGGGGGTCCCAGGCCGGAGCGCGGCGCAAACGCGTGGCGCACCGCGGACGGGCGGCGCGGCGCGACGCGAGGGGCAACCGGGCCGGCGCGCAGAGCCGGGGCGGGCCCGGGGGCGGACCGCAGCGCCCCCTCGTTCTCGGCGCTCTGGGCCCGCGCAGCCCGGGGTTAGCGGGGCTCGGGCCGGGGAGGGGAGCTGCCCGCGCGCTCCGTCCCCCTCCCCCCTGGGCGGGCGGGCCGGCGGCCGGGGGGAGGGCGGGCGGCGGCGGCAGCCGGCTGTATATATCTCCGCGCACCCCGCCAGGTCGCGCACAGCTCCCCGAGCCCAGGCGCCTCCCCGCCCCCTCCCCGCGCTCCGCGGCGGCGGCGGCGGCAGCAGTAGCAGCAATATGGCTGTTGATGGGTGTTCGGGGTGGCGCTGGCGGCGGGAGGAGCTCCCCCGAGCCCCTGCGCCGGCTGCCCGTTGCTAGCTATGGCAAATGGTGGCGGCGGCGGCGGTAGCAGCGGCGGCGGCGGCGGCGGCGGCGGAGGCAGCACTCTTAGAATGAGTAGCAATATCCACGCGAACCTTCTCAGCCTAGACGCGTCCTCCTCCTCCTCCTCTTCCTCCTCCTCTTCTTCCTCCTCCTCTTCCTCCTCGTCCTCGGTCCACGAGCCCAAGATGGATGCGCTCATCATCCCGGTGACCATGGAGGTGCCGTGCGACAGCCGGGGCCAGCGCATGTGGTGGGCTTTCCTGGCCTCCTCCATGGTGACTTTCTTCGGGGGCCTCTTCATCATCTTGCTCTGGCGGACGCTCAAGTACCTGTGGACCGTTTGCTGCCACTGCGGGGGCAAGACGAAGGTAACGCGCGCCCCGGCGCCTCCCCCGTGCGCCAGCCCCACCGCTTCTCGGCGTCCCCTGCAGCCCACCTCCTCGCTTTTCACAGCGCCGTGCCTCCCTCCATCCCTGCCTGCCTTCCGCTCGCCGCCTTCCCTTCCCTCCGCTCTCCTGGCGCCCGCCTGTTGGGGCTTCGGGCGGCGCGCCGGGGGTGGGGAGTTGCCCCCAACCGGTGCGCTCCGGGACGCGGACGCCCAATCCCGTCCCCTTGTTTATTGTAGGGTTGTTCGTGGCTGCGGCTGGGGCCGGGGTGAGAGGTAGGGAGAGCCGACTCGGCGGGCACCGAGCAAGCTGGGGGCCGCTCGGTGCGCGTTCCGCGCGGCTCACCTGCCGGGGCTCGGCTCCTTGTGGTGGGCGAGGGGGAGCACGTCAGCCCGCACTTTAGAAACCTGTTGGGGAGATGAGTTCGGAAAATCAGAAGGGCAGGAAAATCCTTTGAGAAAGGGAGGACATCTTTTGGACTGGGGGATCCCAGGGGAGGAACATGACCAGAGGACGTGCGGGGGACCTGGAGGGGCGAGAGAAAGTTGGGGAGATGCATCCCAGTTTTGGAGGCAACCCGCGGATGCTGCCACTTTAGGAATGTGGCGAGGTCGCAAAACTGATGTCCCCTCCCTCTCCTACTCTTGGAGCAGACCCCCACCCCCACCCCCACCGCAAGTTCTTAGGCATCTGTATTCTCGCCCCCCTGCCACCGCCTTCAGGTCCCCGGAAATGCCCCCGGCAGCGTGGAGCTAGAGCCGGAGGTCCGCCCGAGAGCCCGCCGAGGCCGAGGTTTTCACGCGAGCCTCCTCCCTGACGCTTTTGAGGTGGCTCGATGTCGGCTTTAAACTATTCCTGGCGCAGAGACGCCCACCAGCACCGAGGCTCACTACACCTTACGTATGGTTGCTAGGCTGACTGCCTGGTCTGTCGCCGTCGTGTCCCTAGAGATGTCCTCTTCCCCCCCACCCCCCCACTGGCTGAAGGTGAGAGGTGGCGGGCAGTTTTTCATAGAAAACTGCAGGATAAAAAAGAAAGAACTGGAAAAAAGAGTGACCGAGCTGTTTTCTGTTTGACTAATTTTTAACCTAGTGGACTAACCAGCGCCAGCATTTTCAGAGGGAGGGAAGCTCAAAGGGGGATAGGGAACAGTGCAAGGCCCTGGCACATCTCGGTGGGAATGCTCACACCTTTTCTAATAAAGTTAATCTGAGGACACCTCAAACTTCCACGGGGCACAGCAACTTGTAGCAGCCTCCTTAATTGCTACAGGGAGGGAGCAGGTAAGATGGGGGCTATGGGTGACACACAAGGGTGAAGGGAAGCTCTCTCCCTCTCTCTCTCCTGATCATTAATTATACATTGTGTTGGGTGCTGGAGCTCAGCTGTGTTTTGTGGTAGCACATTTGTGTTTTGGAAAATACTGGTGTTCTGGAAATAGGGGAGAAAAATAAAAGCCATCATTCACTTCCTCTTCCTCCTACTCCGGAGACCTCCAGATGTTAGTCAGTTTTCTCTGGAGTTACCTTCTTGGCCATAGCAGTTTCTCCTTACTTGTCAAGGTGCAAAACCACCCAAAATCCTAACCCCGAGACCCCCTAGACCCAGCCCCTTGCCTAGCCCTCCTGACCAGTCCTTATTCATATAGCCTTCTTATTCACACATTCCCTCTCCTCTGCCTCCCCACCAGTCTTTAGTCTGCGAGTGTTTTTCCTTTACTGAGATTCCGTGCTACCCTTAGAGGTAGTTGCATGCATCTCAAACGTTTTCTAGACTGAGTGATTTTGGGGAACTTTTTAACGATCTCCTTATCCTTCAGGAACTGGGCAGGCTAGATCATAATGAAAAGTTTTTTTTCAGTGAGTCAAAATAAGTTTCAGTGTTTTTGTGATCCTGGGGTTTTAAACACAGCTTCTAAAGTCTTTTTACTCTAGGGGGTACGTCAGTGCTACTGCAGTGCTTCTGGTGAAATGCTGATTGGATCGTTCACATAAAGAGTCTCTTTCTTAAATGATGACCAAGCATAACCTCTGTAAGTTTTCTCAAGAAAATACGTTTTTAGCAATGATCATTAGGAAAAAAACAATCCCTAGATATTAGGCTATATTTTGTAGCTCCAAGACGTGCCGAGTTGACTAAACTGGAACTTTCTACAAAGAATCATCTGGGATGAGAGATGCTTGCAGTTGGTTGGGAAGATGTGAGGCCAGTATAGAATGAGACCATGTCACTTTTGGTACCATTAGAGTCCCCTTTAAAACATGCCCAGAATCTCTTAATACTTGCTCCTTGATTTGCTCAATTAAACAGTGTGTGTAGCCATCTCATTTTGACCAGTAGTAGTTACTTAGGCCTTTTATAAGCTTTTCTTTCTACTCTTGAGGTCTGTATTTTTTACTGCAATCATTCTTTTTTTTTTTTTTTTTTTTTTTTTTTTGGTGTGTTTGTGTCCTTCATTCTTTTTGCTTTCCAAGTATTTGGTAGTCACCAAGACGCTGTTCAGAAGAATGCATTTGGCTTCAGTTTAGAATAATTATTTTAGTGTTGGGTTTCTCAAGCAAACTAAGGCTGCTTTTCCTTAGTATTCTACCAGCCCTCACATATGTTCACCCTGATCCTGGTTCAGCCTCAAGATGGTTTGACCCGGAGCTAGGGTCCAGAGAAAGGCTGGTCTTTTTAGCATCTGAAATTCTACAGGAAAAAG